TTCCTGATTCTCGGTATGTGGTTGTTTTTAACTGCTAGACGGAAAAATGTGTTTAAAATGAGGCTGATGGCAGCAAAACAAAATACTGCTAAAAAAGTGTCTCGTGTCTCGTGTTGCGAATCCAATGACGCTAGTAGTGACGCTGGTAGTGACGATTCTGTCTGACCAATCATTGATCTACAGTGTTTCACGTCACATTTTAGTACCGGTACGGTACGCTTGGAACTTCAACAGACCAGGTACCATTTAAAGCGACCCGAAGCGAACCGTACTGTACCGTACCATGCAGTGTAAAAGTACCACAAGTGAGCTGTACCGAACCGAACCGTACTGTACCATGCAGTGGAAAAGCGCCAAAGTGAGCCGTACCGAACCGAACCGTACTATGCAGTGGAAAAGCGCCAATTGTGGAGAAGGACCGATTCCAGACCTTGGGGGACCTGCAGAAGCAGTGGACTGAGTCTGGAGTAGAAACATCCAGAGCCACCGTGCACAGGCGTGTGCAGGAAATGGGCTACAGGTGCTGAAATTCCCCAGGTCAAGCCACTTTTGAACCAGAAACAGCGGCAAAAGCGCCTGACCTGGGCTACAGAGAAGCAGCACTGGACTGTTGCTCAGTGGTTGCATGTCATTCGTAAATCAAGGTGCCAGAGTCTGGAGGAAGACTGGGGAGAAGGAAATGCCAAAATGCCTGAAGTCCAGTGTCAAGTACCCACAGTCAGTGATGGTCTGGGGTGCCATGTCAGCTGCTGGTGTTGGTCCACTGTGTTTTATCAAGGGCAGGGTCAATGCAGCTAGCTATCAGGAGATTTTGGAGATTTTCATGCTTCCATCTGCTGAAAAACTTTATGGAGATGAAGATTTTAATTTTTCAGCACGACCTGGCACCTGCTCACAGTGCCAAAACCACTGGTAAATGGTTTACTGACCATGGTATTACTGTGCTCAATTGGCCTGCCAACTCTCCTGACCTGAACCCCATAGAGAATCTGTTGGATATTGTGAAGAGAAAGTTGAGAGACGCAAGACCCAACACTCTGGATGAGCTTAAGGCCGCATTCGAAGCATCATGGGCCTCCATAACACCTCAGCAGTGCCACACGCTGATTGCCTCCATGCCACGCTACATTGAAGCAGTCATTTCTGCAAAAGAATTCCCGATCAAGTATTGAGTGCATAACTGAACATAATTATTTGAAGGTTGACTTTTTTTGTATTTAAAAACACTTCTTAAGGTTATAGGATGTCTTAAACCACTATATCATTTTCCGACGGCACAGGTTAAAATAAATGGTAGTATTTCTAATTCAATTACACTGGAACGGGGATGTCGCCAGGGATGTCCTTTAAGCCCCACACTTTTTGCACTATTCATAGAGCCACTTGCTCAATTAATTAGAGAAGATGTAGAAATACCAGGAGTTCAATTTAAAGGAAATAAACATAAAATATGTCTATATGCGGATGATATTCTTATGACAATCTCGGACCCCGACTCTAGTTTACCTAAATTAATGTCATGCCTTGAGCAGTTTGGATGGTACTCAGGATACAGATTGAATTTAGACAAAACTCAAATCCTCTCTTTTTATTATTCACCACAGGAGAACATACGTAATAAATATAATTTTAAGTGGAAAACTAATATTAAATACTTAGGAGTTACCATACCAAAGAATATGACAAAATTGTACACTATTAATTATGAACCCATAACTAAAGAACTAAAAGCAGATTTGAACAGATGGATGCCCTTACCCCTGGGTTTATATAATCGAATTGAAAGTATAAGAATAAACGTTCTACCACGATAACTGTTTCTATTCCAATCGCTGCCTGTAGAGATTCCGAAAAAACAGTTTAATGACTGGAACCGAATGATCTCTAGATTCATATGGAAAAATCAGAAACCTAGGGTCAGACTTAAAACACTACAATTATCAAAGGAGAGAGGAGGACTGTCTCTTCCCTGTCTGAAAGATTACTACAAAGCGGCACAACTGAAATATCTAGTTGGTGTAATAATGAGTATGAAGCAAGGTGGAAAGAATTAGAATTTAGCCAACTGGACATTCCCCTCCCCTCCTTACTAAGGGAATAAAACCACTAGGATTAAATACTATAATAAACTGAGTCATTGGACGATGGTTCCTCTCAATGTTTGGTTCAAGGAATGTAAAAATTTCAAGCTTGAGAAACAAGCACGTTTGTTAAGATGGGTGGCCTATGACAATGGTTTTAAACCCGCACAGTTAGATTCAAGGTTTAAACAATGGACTCTGAAAGGCATTACATAATAGTGTACAATCTCAACCAACACAGGTTTAACAAGCTTCCAACATCTTACTGACACCTAAGATTTTTTTTAGATACTTACAGCTTAGGAACCATTATAATAAAAATATTAAAAATAATGATAAAACTGAAATGAATATGATCAAAATTTTTATTGATGCGATCATGCGTATAAGAGTGGGACTGATACCAACAAGAATACTAATATTAACAAGAAACTGATATCAAGATTATATTCAAGTATAGAATCTTCTAAAAATCACTCTACATTATATGTGAAAGATAAATGGGAAAAGGAAGCGAACATAATTTTATCTGATGAAGAGTGGTTAAACATCTGCAAAACACAGTATACTACCACCAGTTCGAATCAATGGAGAGAATTCTCATGGAAGAATATCATAAGATTCTTTATTACTCCCAAAAGAAAATATTTACAGAATGGTAAACCAGATTCTGTATTCTGTTGGAGACTATGTAATACTTCTATGGCAAATTACTTTCACATATTTTGGAAATGTCCAACGATTCAGTCTTTTTGGTTAGAGATAGTGACCGAAATAAAATTGATACTGGGATTTGAAACGGAGTACAGTTTTAGTACTATATATTTAGGAAATATACCAACTAACCTTAATGCTCAAGACAAATACCTACTTAATGTATTATTAGTTGCGAGTAAAAAAACAATAACTAAGAAATGGCTCCAAGAGAGTCCACCAACAAAAGATGAATGTATAGTGATTGTAAGTCATATATACGATATGGAAAAGCTGACCTTCTCTTTACGATTAAACATGGATAAATTTTACAAGTACTGGTCAAAGTGGCTAAGGTATACGAGTAGGGATTGAGCAAAAAGAGATACTGTGAGTGTTATTTCCTCTTTCTTTTTATTTTAATTATTTCCTCATTTACATTTGATTGGTAATACTATATTGAGGACCCTTTTTTTTTTCTTCAGATGTACAATACTTACCCAATGAAAATATTCTGGATTGTATGATGTATGATGGGACCTTGAACCTTTTATTGACTTGAAAGGACAATTATAATTATTCCCCTGATGTTATTATAAAGGAAGGAAAGGGGAGGGGGAACGGGGAGGAAAAGGGAACCCATGATTTGATATTAACGTAATGTTAATGAAAGTTTGTGTATAACATAATTGTATGTTACACCCCTAGTGACCAGTTTGTTCTGTTCTTTTGTGTTTTACTAAAATCTATATAAACCAATAAAAAATAAAAGTTTTTTTTTTTTTTTTTTTTTTTAAAAACACTTCTTTTTTGAAAACTTCAAAACTTCCATGCATGTTGTTGTCTCCACAGATGCCTCTGCCATGGGTTGGGGAGCCATGTGCAATGGACATGCAGCCGCGGGTTCCTGGACAGGACCCCAGTGCCTTATGCATATCAATTGCCTCGAGTTGCTGAAGAGTCACAACTCGTACGCGACCTCCTATCACCTGTGTGATAAAACTTCTCGGATAAAATATGCAAATTGTTTGAGATAGAGGAATTTTGGGTTGCCAAAATCATCAGTATTAAAACAATAAAAGACCTGAAATATTTCAGTTGGTGTGCAATGAATTTAAAATATATGAAAGTTTAATTTTTATCATTACGTTATGGAAAATAATGAACTTTATCACAATATGCTAATTTTTTGAGAAGGACCTGTATATAAAAAATAAATATTTTACAATAAAATATTGCAACTTTATAATGGGTCTTATTCAGAAACTGATATATTTTTAACTGACTGATTTATAGTTCCCCACCGGTAACAATTGTGACCAAGAATAATTATCATGATTTCACTAACTCTAGTTATACTGGTAACACTTTACGGTAAGGGTACATGAATTATAATGAATTCATGTATAAGTTAATGCATGAATTATGCATTCATTCATGTATTAATATCTCATGAATCATCAGGAGCTAACACAAGTTCAACGTTTTTCATTCGTGACTTCATGAATGAACACCTTAATTAAAACATTAACTAAGATGAGCACATCATCATGAATTATGATTTATTACGCATGATCATGATGTTTTCTTTGTTCACAGTTATGCCACCTTTCAATAGCACATTGTTCATCAATGTTTCAAAGGACCTAGTCACCACTTTAGTTAAGGCGCCACACACATGATGAAGTCATTGATAGAAAATGCTTAGTTAATGATGACTTCTGTATTTGATTTACAGAATGTGTGTGCTATGAGCTGTGATTGGTCTATATGGTGTCTGTCCAATAGTCATCATTAACTAAGAAAGCATTAATCTATTAATGACTTCATCATGTTTGTGGCCCCTTAACTAAAGTGGTGACTAGGTCACTGACCTAGACAAAGAACAAAGAAAACATCATGATCATGCGTAATAAAACATAATTCATGGTGATGTGCATATCTTAGTTAATGTTTTAATTAAGGTGTTGTTCATTCATGAAGTCATGAAGGAAAAACGTTGATAATAAAAGGCATGCATTTTGTTTCTGCATGAGATTGTAAAATATGCTCACTTTGTGAACAATGTGGTTGTAATCATTTTTGTGAAAAATACAGATTTCCCATCATGTTGAAATACGGTTGTAAAGCTCTTATAAGACAAAAAAATATTTCTGGTTAATATTGCCTTTGTATCCAACAAACAGTTTTTATAATACAACAAAAATGACAGTCTTTCATTTTTTAATCTTAAATTTTATTGAATTAACTATTTCATTTCTGATGGGTTAAGGAAATGTATAAGGTATCGATATTATACATCACTGCAAAACAGTCTTGCGCAGCTCAAATGCAAATGATTGAATACATGGAAAAAGTCGTAAACCATATGGCTACTTCTAAAAATATGAAAAATATAGATTTCCATTTTTATCCAGAAAGGAAACCTATTCACATATACCTTATTTCCTAAGGAGTGAAGGAAAGAGTGTAAAGAAATGCAAATATATTCTCATTTAGTGTCCATCACTTGGACAGATTCATCCACAACATCCAGTGTTAATGGAATAACTGTTTTTGTGAGCACAGCAGTAGTGCCTGGCTTGTATCTGTATGAACCCTCCCTGGTGCTTTAAAAGAAAGAGAGAAAATGTTTTTGAATGTTAAGAGATTTTATGAATAAATATGTGCTGTAAACTCAGAAGGTTATTAAAAGAGTTTATCAGGATGAGAGTTGATAGGGGTATATTCCAGAAAGCAGGTCATGCACATGTTTACGTGGTATTAGTAAATATATTGCAATATAGTATATATAATGAAACCTTAACATCGTTTCACTAAAAATGTCTACAAAGGTGTCATGAACTGGCTTTTTAAATTTTATTATATTGTTGTCTGAGGTCAACTTATGACGTTCGCTTGGTTTTTGCATTCAAAAACATCAAAATGAATAAGTAATAGGCTATTTTGTACCCAAGTTGTGAGTCTACCTGAAAAACGCTCGGTTTTTATGGGCGTCTCGCACTGAAGTCTTGGAAATAAATGCCCACTGCTGTGAGTGGATAACAGTTTTGCATATTATAATGAGTTTCAACTTACCTCGTCGATGCACTTGGGGGAAATTGTTTTGAAAACGTCCAGTGTTGTAAAATGGCAACCGGAATGATTCGACCCAGGAATGAACACATGAACTGTTGCACAATTCCTGTCAGGTCCAATATAGACGGCACAGCACCGTTTTTTACTCTTAATCTGTCTGCAAATCCAGTCTTGTTTACAAAACAATCCTCAGTGAAATGAAGCGAACAGAAGACGATGTTTTACCCTCATCAGCTGGAACGTCATTACAACTAAAGTTTAACCATGCAGCCCTATTGGAATCCAGAGGAAGCTTATGCAGCAACTGTCTTCCACAACCAGGCACTGCACAATATTTTATATTGCTCGGTAGCTCGATACGGATTGTCATCACAACTCACAATGTAGGCTATGTTATCTATCTATGCGTGTAATGCGCGAATCGGTCAGTGGGGCTAAACCGGCTGTGTTGAAGCCTTCTTATATTGTCTATGGTTGAAGCAGGCATTGATCTTCTTCTGCGGGGGTGGTGTTTTATCCTCTTTGACATCATAGTTCCCCACTTTTAAAAATGAGTCGTTTACTGAGGCTGGTGTCAATAAAAGCTTTTATTGGACTAACAAGGACGTTTTCAGTTCTGAAACTTACAGGATATTCTTATAATATGATGACATCTTAGATGTCAAAAGCTCAAGGAAAATTTTATTTCTCAGTTCATCACCCCTTTAATAAATCCTGAGAGTGTTTTTTAACCCCCAAAATCGTCTCGGTTATGTATGTAACCCTCGTTCCCTGAGTAGGGAACGGAGACGTTACGTCGGATGACGGAGGATGGGGGTTTCGCATAGAAAGCCAACCCTCTTCGAGTATTAAAAAACGAGCCAATGGCAGGAAAATGCCATGGGTCTGCGGAATTTACATAGCGTATCTCCGCCACCTCGTGAGTATAAAAGGAGGAAGCGGACGCAACCGCAGTATGTCTTCGCTGAGGAGCCGAGACTGAACTCAGGCGTCTACCCAGCGGTACAGCGGAAGTGGCAGGGAGACGTAACGTCTCCATTCCCTACTCAGGGAACGAGGGTTACATGCATAACCGAGACGTTCCCTTTCGTAGTCACTCCGAGTTACGTCGGATGACTGAGAATGGGGGTCCTCCGTGTAATCATGCCACCTTCACAGCTGTCTTCCAGTGCCCTGCGAAAGTCTGATACCCTGTCGTGAACTTAGCACGGACGAGGAGTCCTACTTAGCACAGGAATACCAAGGTACACTGGGGAGCATATCCCAGAGGAAATATGCCACAGTACGCCTACCCATAGGGAGGACTTAAGAATACACATATGGCCCAAGGGGACTTCATATGGAGGAACACTGGAGTCACCAACCCGTAGGGTGGCTAGAATCTTAACTCCAGGGGTGGCAAGGTGGCTTGCCGAGGGAAGACACATGCTCAGAGAGGCTTACAGTGGAGAATACATATGTGGAGGTTACTAGCAGGAACCATGCACACGGAGGCACCTAGCCGACGCCCAGGCAACAGACACTGGTGCCAGCATCAACAGTGCTGGAGGACTCAGGGCTTCAACAGAAAGCTCAGCTGAGGAAAAATTGCACTTATCCAGTTCGTGAGGTGGAATGGCAAGCAAGCGAAGACACCTGAGCGGGTCCAGTACTGGCTGGTTGAGCGAGTACAAGAGAGGACACAGGCTCCTCTCGGAGGTTATAGAATCTCAACGAATGTGTTAGGTGTCGCCCAGCCTGCAGCTCTGCAGATGTCTGCTAGTGAGGCGCCATGTGCTAGAGCCCAAGAGGAAGCCACACTCCGAGTGGAGTGGGCCATCACACCAAGGGGGCACGGTCGACCTTGCTGATGGTAAGCCAAAGCAATGGTGTCCACTATCCAGTGAGACAGCCGCTGCTTTGAGAGAGCCCTTCCCTTCTGGCTCCCACCATAACAGACAAGAGCTGGTCTGAGGTCCTGAAACACCGCATTCTGTCTACGTAAGCCCGGAGGGCACGTACTGGACAGAACAGTGCCAAGGCTGGGTCTGCCTCCTCCAGGGGCAGCGCTTGCAGGTTCACCACCTGGTCCTGGAAGGGAGTGGTAGGAACCTTGGGCACATATCCGGGATCACGTGAGAGTAGGCCGGCCCGAACTCCAGGCATGCTTCGTCAACAGAGAATGCATGCAGATCCCCTACCCTCTTGATGGAGGCCAGTACAACCAGGAGCGCTGTCTCGATTGACAGGAACTTAATCTCAAATGATTGCAGAGGCTCGAAGAGAGGCCTCTGCAGGACACTTAAAACTACTGAGAGGTCCCAAGAGGGTACGAGAGAAGGGCGAGGGGGATTCAGTCTCCTCGCTCCCCTCAAGAACCTGATGATCAGGTCGTGCTTTCCCAAAGACTTACCTTCAACTGCTTCATGGAATGCGGCAATAACAGCCACATAGACTTTCAGGGTGGAGGGAGACAGCCTTCGCTCCAACCCTTCTTCCAGGAAGGAAAGCACGATGCTAATCGAGCATCTCCGGGGGTCTTCTCGGCGAGAAGAGCACCAGTTGACGAAGAGGTTCCACTTCAACGCATAGACGTGTCTAGTGGATGACGCTCTAGCGGAAGTGATGGTAGCCGCCACCACAGGTGGCAGGGTACTCAAACCTGCCTCGTCCCATCCAGGAGCCACACGTGTAGCCTCCACAGATCGGGACGAGGGTGCCACAGGATGCCCCGTCTCTGAGAGAGGAGGTCCTTCCTCAGAGGAATTGGCCAAGGAGGTGCGAGGAGTATCAGTTTGGAGAACCAGGTCTTGGTGGGCCAATATGGGGCGACCAACAAGACCTGCTCCTCGTCCTCCTTGATCTTGCACAGAGTCCGTGCAAGAAGGCTCACTGGGGGAATGCATACTTGCGTAGACCCCGCGGCCAGCTGTGCGCCAGCTGTGCGCGAGAGTAATACAGGGCGCAATGGGAAGAGTCGTGGGAAGCGAACAGATCTATCTGTGCCTCCCCGAACTGGTCCCATATCAGCTGGACTGACTGGGGATGGAGTCGCCATTCGCCAGAGACTGGACGGAACCGTGACAGCTCGTCGGCTGCCAGGTTCCGTTCTCCTGGAATGTAAATAGCACGAAGGGACCACAGGTGCTTCTGACTCCATGATAGGAGGTCGCGTACGAGTTGTGACTCTTCAGCAACTCGAGGCAATTGATATGCATAAGGCACTGGGGTCCTGTCCAGGAACCTGCGGCTGCATGTCCATTGCACATGGCTCCCCAACCCGTGGCAGAGGCATCTGTGGAGACAACAACATGCATGGAAACTCGCTGCAGAGGGACTCCGCCTGTAAAAAGCTGAGGTTCGTCCACGGGAAGAAGGTCTGACGGCAGGTCGGAGTTACTGGAACTCTGAGCGTACCGTGATGCCATGCCCACCTCGGGACTCGATCACAAAGCCACAGCTGAAGCGGTCACATATGAAGCAATCTGAGTGGCGTAGCCGCAGCCACAGATGCCATATGCCCCAAGAGCCTCTGAAAAAGTTTCAGTGGGACCGCACTTATACCCTCGAACTGTCGAAGACAAGTCAGCAGTGAGTGTGCGCGCTTGCTCGTGAGCTGCGCAGACATGGCGACCGAGTCTATCTCCATACCAAGAAAAGAGATCCTCTGCACGTGGCAAAGTTTGCTCTTCTCCCAGTTGACCGGAAGGCCCAGACGGATTAGGTGCCGGAGCACAAGGTCTCTGTGTTCGCAGACCTGATCTCGAGAGTGTGCTAGGATCGGAATATTGTCAAGATAATTCAGGACGTGAACCCCATGTTCACAGAGGGGAACAAGGGCTGCCTCGACGGTCTTTGTAAAGACGCGAGGGGGACAGAGTAAACCCGAATGGGAGAACCGTGTACTGATATGCCTCTCCCTCGAAAGCAAACCGAAGTGACGGTCTGTGTCCGTCAGATGGAGATGGAGACATGAAAGTACGCATCCTTCAGGTACATCGCTGCAAACCAATCCTGGGCCCGAACGCACTCGAAAATGCATTTGGCCGTAAACATCATGAAAGGCAGTCGGTGAAGAGTACGGTTCAAAACGCGAAGATCTAGGATCGGTCGTAACCCACCGATCTTCTTGGGGACAATGAAGTAGGGGCTGTAAAACCCTGACCTCATCTCGGCTGGAGGGACAGTCTCGATTGCACCCTTCGCCAGCAGGGTAACAACCTCCGCTCTCATGATCGGGGCATTGCCACGACCACCGTAAAGCGAACTCCCTGGAGACGGGGAGGAACTGAATTGCATAGCCGAGCCTGATCGTTTGGGCGACGCAACGGGACAGATTGGGGAGCTCTAGCCAAGCTCACAAAAACTGATCCAGTGTAATCATCCGAGCCACAGACGTCCCCCTGGAGGGGCAGCGGGCGGCAGAAGCGGAGGTGTTACCCCCCCCCCCCGTGGGTGCACAATCGAACCCCGCTCCCCGACAGAGGAGACCAGGGAAGGACCAGCGTTCCCGGGTGTTTGGTGATAGAGGGGGATGGGAGTGGCGTGGTACGGGGACGACACACACTCTCATCCGCACCCTCAGAGACAGAGGAGAATGAGAGTGGCGAGGCACGGGGGCGTTGCGCACTTTCATCTTGCTCTGTGTGCTCAGAGATGGACTGCAGCTCTTTGAAGAAAAGATTTTCCCCCAGCCCTCCACCGGGGGAAGGAGTGGGCCTGCGACCACACCTGAAGAACTGCAAGCCATATCTGAGCTGCCCGTAACAGGAGCGACGCAGCGGGGCTGTGGGGCTGGTACAGGCAGGGGCGCCTCCTTGCGACCACCTCCACGGCACGGCCCGGTGCTGCTGCAGAAACCACAGGGTCAGACAAAGCCACAGTCCGCTTCTGAGTGGCCGAGAGCTGTTGGGCAGAGTTCTCGACCGCGCCGCCGAAGAGGCCAGCCTGAGATATGGGAAAGTTGAGGAAACTGGTTCACTCAGCCTTGCGCACATCAACCAGGATAAGCCAGAAATGTCTGACCACGCATGTGGAGATCAACTGACTCAGGGAGCATGCGGTCAACTTCGTCACTCGTAGAGCAAAGTCGGTGACGGCAGGCAGCTCAAGGATGAGCCCTGAATCAGCCCTACCCTTGTGCATGTCACTGCACACCCCAAAGGATGGCAATAACACACAGTGAGGTGGCAGCCTGCCCCACAGCTCTATAGGTCCCCGCCACCGGAGTAGACAAGAACCTACGGCATTGGGGGGTGCTTAGGGTTGCCACGGCCAGTGGAGGCGCTGTGGGGACACATAAGTGTTGCCACAGAACACTCCACAGGGAGGAACCCCAGTGTACCCTAGAATGCGGCCTCTACGAGGGCAGAGAAGGCGGAATAGGCCGCTGAGCAGTCGTGAAAGTCAAAGGAGACTTCCACAATCTCATGGCATCTTCATGCACATCCGGGTAGAAAGGATTTGGGTTGGCAGGATTCGGGACATGGCAGAATTTTCCACACAAACCCAACACTCGTGGCAGCCTGGGAAGCATAGCTGTGAACTCTGAATCTAACTCGCTATGTTAGCCCATCCGAGGACAGCAGCACAGACGAGTCAACTCCAGAGAACTCCAGCTCACCTTGTGATGCGGCGATAAACATGATTTCATCAACTGGAGGACCAAATAAGAAAGCAGGCCCTTTTATTTAATTTTTTTTTTTTTTGGCAGCCGCGAACTCACTCGGGACCACGTGGGTTGCAACGTGAAAGACGGGGTATGGACCGTGGAAATTTTCGTCGGTTTAGTTCCAGACCTGATGTCTTAGATCACCCTGGCCACCAGTCTAAGTATTATCTCATGTGGAGAAAATAGTTCAGGTTGTGGATAAGGGGACTCAATGAGCTCACTCTATTGAGTGAGCTCATTGCTATTGAGTAAATTACAAGTAGCCTATGTGAATATAGTGCTGCAGGGATGACATTTTGTAGGCCAAACCCCGGAAATGAGTTCGGATTGTAGCACTGTCCTGAAGTCAATAGATATCTGGGGTTGGGGTTATCATTGCAATTTTTAAAAGCTTTTACTTGTATTGAAAAAGGCTGTTGCTAACAAGTGGCTATGTGAATCGGACTTCAAAGGTTGTCAGGGACATTAAATGTCATCACACTGTACTGGAAAACTCATCTACTCGCTAGTCGTAAGTTGACAATTTGTTAGAAGCTTAGTGGTGGTAAAGCTGATGTCCTGGATGTGGTGTAGTCTTCTGACAATTGTATTTAGGCTTCAAATTTAAAAGTTGTTAATTTGTGAAAATTATCATGAACAAAAAGTGTAAGAATCTTTTCTTTTCTTTTTGTTCACAGAGCTTATTTTCTGCAATAATTCAAAAAAGCCAATGAAAATATTCTATTGAGTTTTTGTTGAGGGAACCAGGGTCATGCTAACTTGTCCAACAAAAATAGTAATCACTGCAGAGCTCTATACTAGGATGTACCTTCCTGTATGAGTGTGTTCACAGTGAACATACTCTTGAGTTGACTGAACTTTTACTTCTGGCCGTGTTTTAGAACCAATAACTGAGTAAGAAATGTAATTAACCTACAGTTTGGGTAACCCTGCTTTCTGGAAAACCAAGGAAATGGATACATTTTTAAAAAAATCTCATTTTAAAGCTATAGTATACGATGTTAAAAATCGGTCGAGAAAGCCTGAGACGGTAGGGAAGTTTTAAAAAACTCATCCCGCCCCTCCACACACACACACCCCTCCCCTCCCCTCTGTGCTACCTGATCCCTGACCTATGTCACTTTTGAGTTCACGTCAACACAAGATTAGCAACACATGAAATGTTCTAAACTCCCCACCACAATTAGTATAATACTACTAGTATTGCTAGGGTTTTCAGTAATTGTTATAGCAGCACACAGCGCATCTTGTTCAAATTCCGATCGGCTTGAACAGAAACCTGCTAGGCATACTGAAATATATTCAAGGACTTCAAGAAATATAATTACTTTCACCTGTGATAGGCGATGCTAAACGGCTAACATTCCAGTGCCGACCGGCAGCATGAGCATGTTGTCAGGCTGATAAAAAGCTATTTATGTAACACATCTGAAAGTATAAATACATGTTTACCTGCTCAACAAAAAGTCAGCTGTGTCAGCATCGGTTTTCAGTCCCAGATCTCGCTGAAGCTTCCTTCAATGGTCAATGGTGGACCCTATATTTATCCTACTTAGAGTGCGGCGTTTCATTTTTTTTTAATCTCTGCTCTTTCCTCTACAGACTTTCTCTTTCATCAAAACTTTACTGTAGGGGCAAGCAGGGGCCGCTTGCTGCTGTCATTTATATTTTTATCCATTGCTGATCTGACGCTACTTAGCTAGCTACCATAGACTGTCTGTCAGCTGCTTGCTCGCGCAAGGATGGGGGCAGGGTCAGGTGCGGTTAGGTTGGAGACGCGAGCGCCAGGCAGAGTTCAAGTGGAGCTGGTGATTGGATGAGAGCAGTTGACCAATGTAAGCTGTCCGGCCGGACAGCTTACATTGGTCAACTTCACTGCAGCTGTACAGCCAATAGAGTGAATGGAATTTTTTCATTCTTTTTTCTATACATATTGTTAGGTTTGTACTATATAACCATAATCAGCATCTAAACGAGGATATTAATAATGAACAATCTTTGAAATCGTATACCCTAGCTTTAAAATGATGAAGAATTGATGTTACTGCAATCCCTCATTACAATGGTATCTTACCTCAATCCTTTCTGAACAGGCTGGTCGTATCCCCTCAGATAATCCACAGCTTTCTCTGTGATCACACATAGGTCTACATTGCTGCCGGAACCCAGATCACAGAAGATGCCTGCAGTGATGGCATCTCTCACCAGCTGCTTTCCTTCCTCCAGCTTTACATTCCAAAGCGTTTATGTAGGTGTGGGATTGAGAACAAATACAGAACGTGTTTTGGAAGTGGGATTCAACAATAAGGATTACATTAAGGGTAACAAGCATAGAATAAAAAAAAAACAAGATTTTACTTTAATTATATTTTAAACATATTGTAATAGAAAACAGGAACAAAATTCCTTAAATTCTGAAACAGGGTGCAACAGAAAATATATATATATTTTATTTTAAAATATGTTGATTAGTAAATCATTAGTTTTATATTGCACTGTTCCGTTATTTACAATTATTCATTGCATTGTAATTCATTTCCACATAAAAGTTGTTCTTTTACCATTGTCTTATTTTGTCAGCAAATGTTACTTACATTGAGCACTCAAATTTGGTAAAAGGAAGATCCTTCAAACATGCTTGCTTGACACACAAGAACAATTGAGGTTCATTCATTGAGCTTCCACAGCGACCAATGAGGTTTGTTCTCGAGCATTAAGCAAGTTTTTGGGTGTACTTCCCCTTTGAAGGGCCCTCATGGGTGCCTAGAACTCTAGGTAAAATATAACTACAATAACAGCATATACACAATACCATGTTGGAAAATGTCTAATAGTTGTCTGACCTCCATATTTGGCCTGTAACGATCTTCAAATAGAGAAATGGCAGCAGCTGCTCCAGACCCTGTAATATACAGTTTTGCTAAATAAGTGCATGTGGCAAAAAAAGTGTCTGATTGTGTTCATTCAAACAAAGGGGATAAAGTACCCATGGTAAGGAAAGGAAGTTTATCATAGGAACCATGAGGGTAGACGCTATAGAGCTGTGGGCCGTTAATATCCACACCTCCCACAATTAGAGAAGAACCAATGTGCCCCTGATACCTAAAAATAAATTGGAAACAATTAGCCCTAGTCCTGGGACTTCCTGAATAAGATAAACTACCATTATCAGTTAACTCGTGAGCAATTTCTTAAAGAAAGAGTGATGTATTTTGTTTTATCAATCATTTAGGCACAATCATTTGAATCAAATTGAACGACTTTATGACACTTTCACCTGAACAGCATCTGTTTGAGCTGTCGGGTCACCATGGCTACAAGAGGAGGTCGTCCTGTGCTCAGCGAATGCAGTTCTACATTTGAAGACATCATCTGAGTAGTGACCTCAGCATCAGCAGCAACACCTGCACCACAACAGCTATTGTGGTAAGAAGAACGAAAGAAAAAGAAAACAATAAAAACAGGCACTATGAAATTTAGTTTAGACAGAGACTTGACCTATGATGATGAGCAACCAAAAAATTCACTTACTAGATTTTGGGAGCTATGTAGTGGATTTTCATGCAGTTTTTATCAGCTACGACCATATCATCCGTGGCTCTGGTGTCTGCACCTAAAATCACTCCATCCTAAATTAAAATCCATTTATTTTTTAGTTTATTATAATTAAATATTACATACCATCATATTAATCTAATACGTTTATTTGCAATTACTTGAATTACATAGACTTAAATTATATGGACATGAATTACAACATAGACTTAAATTTCAAATTTTCAATCTCTAATTAACAACACAAATCATGCTTTGAAGTGTCACAACAGACTTTGAATATCAGCCCAGCAATGGTGGTGCCAGTCTTCCTGGCGTTTGGTGCACTGTAACCCTTCTCTGATAGATTTGCTTCCAGAACAGCATTTCTATGAATGAATAAGCAAACAAACAAATATAATACAATTAAAAGATATGGCATTAAGGTAGGCCTACTTTTTGGTATACTATTATGTTATTTAGGAGTAGGCCATGTTTACTTATTCATGTGTCAAAACACTTTGATGTGTTACATACTTTTGCTTCGTTACAGTCTGCATATTAGTTTACTAGTATATTAGTAAACTGCATATGATCTGGCAATCATTGTAAATTGTAGTTATGCCTTGATCATATTGTTATAGCTGTCTCACCTGCGTGTGTTCTCAAAAGAGAATCCTCCGGTCGGCGTCTTTGTCGATGACTGCATCTTTCACCCGCGCGCTGTATGAAATCTAAAGTAGGCCTATAGCTCTTATAATCAGCTTTGGTTAATGCTCTTTCTGATCACCGCTTTTGAACGTTTACTCGCTTCAGCTTTAGCCTACACAAAGAGTCGGTGCGTCAGCACTTTTAACGCCCCAAACTGCAGAATATCCTTCTTTCACTTTCACTTCTGACACATGAAGCCGTCTAGCCCAACGGTAAGGGCTTATTTGTGCATAAAAATTGATAGGTCTAAAAATGTTTTTTTTCGTCTATAAGCTTTTTTTATTCAATTTATCTATTTAATCTGACCTATTTAAAATGGGAAAATAGGATAGCCTACACCAATAAAATCAATTTATGAGTTAGATCAAGAAGAATGAATAGACCCTTAAATAAAATTCAGATTTAAGAACAGGTTAAAGAATTCTGAAAATAAAGAATGTTTTTTGGCCTACAAATGCAGAAATTGGATCAATTTGAATGGATAGAGCAGGTTTACAGTGTAGATTTGAATGTCATCAGCATACAGTGATGGTTTACCGTGTTGTATAATTGGGGTATTATAGCAGTAGTAGCCTATAAAGATAAATAATAATGGCCCAAGAACTGATACCTGAAGGATGTAAAGCTGGGAAATTCTAAATATGGAGGAGAGTTGGATCCAATTGTGCAAATAATATTTATTAACAAATCAATCAAAAAACACAAGGAGCAGCCAGGGGCCCGTTCTTCATAGCTATACATTGCTTAACCCTCTGGGGTTTTTCGTTTCAGAGTCACACTTGGGGTGTTCGGGTCCAAATGGACCCAAAGGGCAGGATTCATATTTTTAAAAAAAAAAAAAAAATCATAATTTTTTTTTTGACTTGTTTTTTATATATTTTTTCTTTTCTTTTTTGGTGTTTTGAGATAATTTTATGATTTATAATTAATATTTATACAATAATTATGACCCATTTTTTCCCATTGAACATAATAGAATTTTTTTATTTATTTATTTATTTATTTTTTATCAAAGCTGTATTACATTTTAGAGTGAAGCCTAGGCCTCATGAAAGCAATTTTTGAAAAATAGATGTCATCTGGTAGACACACCGAGCATTTTTATCACGCAATAGCACATTTTTACCACTATAGTGGATTAGTGGATACAGTACAGCTCTCTGTATAAAAGGCTTGGGGATTCTAGTGATTTTTGCAAATACCAATTGTTTTTCAGGTTGTTGATTTTTAAAATATAAAAACAGATTCTCAAAGACTATTTGTGTCTTGTTTTTTGTTTGTTTGGTTGGTTTAGATGGTAATTTGATATTTATTATACAATCAAATCTGAACATTGCATTGGAAAGAGAACAAATGGAAAGCATTTTGTTACCCAATGTTTAATTCTTATTCTAACTTAATAAAAATGCAATTCTTTCAGTCATAACATATATTTAAATTATTTGCATACTATTTACATAGGCCATTCTATGAACAGTAACTCAAAATTGGCACAGGTGCTGCATTAGGCCTGGAGGTTACCAGGGTAGAACTCCATCCTTTGATCTAATCTCTCTCTGTGTTTGTGTGTGTGTGTGTGTGTGTGTGTGTGTGCGTGTGTGTGTGTGTGCCTGTTTTGTACTCTTGATGTTTTAGAGATTCACCCCTTCACCATTGAGTCATTTTTTTCTGCATTCTGGCTGATTTGTATATTGTATGCACAAAAAAACTGTTTTCATATTTTTGACAATTTCCCATTCATTTCCAATGGGGGTAATTTGGACTCGAATGTCCTGAGTGCGATAAAAAACAAAACAAATTACAACCACTTAGACTATTCAAATGACTATTCTATTTGAACAGTGTATGTTTTCATATTGAATAATCTGTGTTTTCATATTTTTGACAATTTCCCATTCATTTCCTATGGGGGTCCATTTGAACCCGAAGGTCCTGAGTGTGACTATTTTTTTTACAACCACTTAGACTGTCCACATCCTGTCCCCATTTTTTTTGTGTGTTGACATACCTACTACCATAAAAGTCACCTAGTTTCGTAACATTCCGATGAAGCTGTGATTTTTAAAAATTCAAAACAGATTTATGTAATCTGAATTTATGAGTGTGAAAGTGTATAAAAGTGTGTGTTTTTGTGTGTGAGTGTGTGTGGCTGTGTCTGTTTTGCACTCTTTGTGTTTTATAGATTCACCCCTTCACTGTTGTGTGTTTTTTTTATGGATTATGTCTGATTTGTAGATTGTACGCACCAAAAAACAATTTTTTTCACATTTTTGCCAATTTCTCATTCATTTCCTATGGGGGTCCATTTGGACCCGAACACAACCACTTTTTTTACAACCTCTTAGACTGTTCACATCCTGTCCCCAATTTTTTTGGGTGTTCATATACCAAATACCAACGAAGTCACCAAATTTCGGATCAAATTTTTTTATTTGAATGCTTCGGGTCCATTTGGGCCGAACAACCCCAGAGGGTTAAAAGGGGATATGTATCGACATAGAAACATTGATCAGCAACGCTGCTATTGGCTGCTGCTCAACGGCCAAAGAGCGCGCTCAGTTTTTCACCAAGGGGGTAATCCATCTTTTAGCAGAACTTCACTTGCGTTAGCATTTCCATTGACTCCCATTCATTTTGGCGTCACTTTGACAGCGAATAACTTTACATCTGAGGCGTTTGAAGACCCCATTTACCCTTTATTTATTTCTAAAGAAACACGACAATGTATAAAATGCTCCATTACCTTGTAGCTTAAGTTATGGCCCCATAGAAGCAGTTTTTTGTAAAAGTAGGCTAACGATTGCGTCATACCCACGCGACTCTCTGTCGCACAGTAGAGAGATTACTGTATGGACAGGAGGAGAAGCGTGCGGGCAATCGGGGAAACATGGAGGCAAACCCACTAAACACTGGACGTCGGATAGACATGCTGATCATGTCTATATTGGGTCTGTCGGTCCATGACCAATTCTTGACAACTATTCGACGTCCAAACTAGGTCCACTATTTGGACTTCCAACCATGACCCAATTTAGACGTCATGTTGACGTTCAACATTTGACCGTTGAACTGGTTAATTTTTTTGGACTTCATTTGGACGTCTATTACAGGTGCAGCCAGGAAATTTACATGATTAATATGCAATTTTTTTTTTTTTTACAAAAATCAACATTGTTGTTATCAACATGATTAATACATATGAATACAGATTATTTTTAATTATTTAAGATAGTTTTCTTAAAACTACATTTGATTGTCTCAAACAGAAGGTGGTAATTGACACAAGCAAAGGTGTAATGCTGTGGCGGTACCTGACAGCCGTTCGTCTGTAAAATCTATCCAATACAATGACGAGCTCCATCTTTAATAAACCAATTACGTTACGAGCTCCATTTTTCGCCGTCCAATGAAATGTCAAGGTCCATTTTTCATAGACCAATCACCGTGCATAGTCCATTTTTGTCCATCTTTGAGCGTGAGCAGATTCCATCCAATCTCCGCTCATGTTCTATTTTTTTGGCCGTCCAATGAAATGGCAATGTCCATTTTTCATACACCAATCACCACACGTTGAGCATAAACATCACCGCTGTTATTTATATTCCGCTCAGGTAACGTTATGTTATTTATAGTTCTCTTACGAGAGGTTCTCTCGTATTGCGTAAGCTAGCTTACGCTACGGGAAAGATTCATCTTTGCTGAGAAGTTGAAGCCAAAAAATTATTCCATAATTTTGTAATCATTGTCAACGCAGTCTCTTCTGAGGCAGACCATGAGCGGGCTAGCTAGCGGCTCATTGGTTCGCTCAGAGAGAATGCACGAACCTATGGGAGAGCGGCGCTGAGTCCGCGGCCAATGAGCGGACGGCGCTCGCTCACTGCGTCACAGCCCGCCAAAAGGGGCGTGGCTACAGTGTATAAAGGTCGCTCTCCCAGCTCGTTCGTTGATTCTTTTTCATTCAGCGAGCTACACGCATCCGCTGTCCTGGGAAGAAGCCGCCGTCGTTGAGAAGGCACCGTCTAGCGAGCTCCGGAGTCTGAGGAAGCCGGCCGTCTGCCACCTTCAGCCGCCCAGCAAGCTAGCGCCATCCGACGCGTATCCTTTTTACTATTCCATATTCCTAAAAGAGCCGAGCGTCTTTTTAAAGATGCCTCGTATTTCCTGCGGCTCATGCCGCTCTCCACTCGACGAAGGAGACCGCCACCCCATCTGCGCTCTCTGTCTCGGAGTGGAACATGCAGAGCTCGCCAACGGAGGATGCGACCACTGCGAGGACCTGCCGCTGTCAACCCTGCGGGCTCGACTACAGGCGGTCAAAACCGCTCCAGCGCCGCCTCTCACTTCGCCACGGAAAAAGAAACGCCGCTCCCAGAGGCCGCCGGAGCCCCCTGCGGATCCATGTGGGCCGCCGCCGCCGCCCACCGACCGCTCTCCCTCTCCGCCCCTGCCGGACTTACAGTTGCCGCCGAGTGGCCGCTCTGTCGCCTCCGATGACACCGCGGATGAGAAGGACTCTTGTTCGGACAGCGAGGATTGGTCGTCGATCGACTCATCGACGAGAGAGTCTGCGGGGACCCGCGCCGGCATCGAAGAGGAACTAACGCGCCTCCTTTCACAGGCCGTTAACCGCCTGGGTCTCGAGTGGTCTCCTCCCCCTGAGCAACCACTGAACCGCATGGATGGGAAGTTCCTGCACCGGCGCCCGGCCCCCGCCTGCAGCCGGGCTGCACCATTCCTGCCTGAGCTTCACAGCGAGCTCACGAAATCCTGGAATGCTCCTCTTTCGGCTCGTAATCGCTCTGATGTGTCCGCTTCGCTGCGCTCAGTGGACGGAGCCGCCGAGAAGGGTTATACTGCCATGCCGCCCGTCGAGGACTCGGTCGCCGCTCATCTCTGCCCGCCCTCTGCTAGATGGCGGTCTTCTCATACGCTTCCCGCTAAAGCGTGCAGAGCGACCTCTAACTTCCATGCCCGCGCCTATTCCGCCGCCGGTCAGGCCGCTTCAGCGCTGCATTCGATGTCTGTCCTCCAGGTACTCCAGAGCGACATCTTGTGTGAAATGGCGAGCAGCGGGAGGCAACCGCCCGTCCTTTCGGATCTGAGAAGCGCTACGGATCTTCCCTTCGTGCCACTAAAGCCGCCGCACAAGCTCTGGGGAGATGCATGGCCGCCCTCT